GAAGGATTATCAGATGCAGTCAATTTTCAAGCCTCTACTCTTAATTCGCTCGATAGTACTTCCTTGTGAGACAACGATCACTTATTCAGCGGGAGCTGTTTGTATATAGATTTTTCTTGGTAGATTAAGCGCGCTATCGGGATACTCTTATCGGACGACGCGATGATACTTGCGGTAATGCGAAACTGTTTGTGTTGCCATTTCAGTGGACAAGTCCGTTTGTCGTCGTCAACAAGACGCGGACCGTCTTTTAAGACGCGCGGACTGTTCAAGCAGTAAACATCACAAGATTTATTTCGCCGTCGCAATAAATCCTCGTCGAGTCGTAGCTCGAGTCGCTTCAATTCTCGAGAAATTTTGGATCGTCGGCTCATAGTCAAAGTCAAAATCACAGAATAGCACGCGTAGATAGTAGCGCTCATTATGTTTCTTTTCTCAGCGATGTGTCTCAACTACCTTTAATCCTTAAGCACTGACAGGAGTCTGATAAACTCCCAATGAGATAAAAAAACTTATTGCTGTGTCACTTCCGCTCTCTTAAGCGTATACACGCGTCCATCTTTTCTTTGGCCCGTAAAATACGAAGTGGCGACAAGGAAAGACGTTTCGCACACTTTCTCAGGTAATTATCAAACTCCGAAATATTTTGTTTCGAAAATCTGTGTCAGTGCTTAAGGGTTAATAAAATTAACCAAGCCGTGCGTAATACCTTTATTAGAAATTAAACAATCTCGCAAGAAAATTGAAGAGCAACAAACACGTTGTGTTTATTCGCCACCTAACGGCAATTAGAACTGTCCAACGATAGATTGACGTAATCTTATCGCGGACTCATATTAGGATTCAGTTAAAATGCTACACATGTGTTATCCTTGCCGATAGTGTTTATCATTACCTCTCCTGATGAAAGTCTCTCCTTTTTAAATTATCTTATTTTTTGCATCCCTCCTTCTATAATCTTTCCGCTTGTAACTTCTTTTAGATTTTCCCCGGTGTATTTATCGTCGAGTAGATAACGATACTTCAACATACATCTTCAAAGTATATCTCGGTGTCTTAATATTCGATAAATAAGGTATAAGAACGATAAGATATTTTAGCTTGTCAATTTTTAGTATTTGTTTTTGTCTTCTTTTCTTGGATTAAGATATCCTCTCTAAAATGATTCTGCAACTTTCTTTATACACGGAGAAAATATTGCAGCAAAGTTTTAGTCAATTTTAATTGGGTTAATTAGCCAATCTTAGGCGCTCATAAGGTTTAGATCTTTCTTTGTTTTATGTGAAAAGACATGGACTATCCATTATTTTGCCTGCCACAATTTTGTGGGTCATTCTCGCGCAACCATGGCCAGTAATATCGATACAATTCAACTTTACAAGAAACGTCGTAGAAAATAATATAATTTTTACAATATATCCTCCGTAGAAGCACACGGTAGAAGGATTCGAGGCGTTCATTTCGCAGCGCAAATTGGATTGCAAGTTCGGCGCTCGCCCGTTTCGTTATCAATTTACGATCCACGGGCCCGTTTTTTCGTCCTCACTTCGTCCTTGCGAAGTAGTTTACGTCGCAGTAGCACGAAACTTCGTCGGGGCGTCACGCGTGCGTCTGCGTGATTCACGGTGCGCGCGGCGGCATGTAACGTCGTATCTCCATATTATTGCAACGACAAGGTCGTTTTTGCTCGAGCCTTTCGACGAAGGAGATCACAGAGAAAGACCGCATAATTATCTGTCGTCGTTAATGCGCGCATTACCTTTAGAGCTAACTAAATTACTCGTCGTCTTAATTGCGTCTGTATTAACGACAGGGAATAAATTCTATCTCGAGCGCTCCGTCCTCCTCTCACTCTCTTCCGTGCGTTTTTCTCCTCCAGAAAAATCTCCAGCAATGGTTAATATTAAGAGGATGCTGAAGACGAAAACTTGAACAGAATACTGACATACCGAAGAAAAACATTGCTGTACTTTCATATTTGAATTCAGGAGCTCGAGGGGATGCTGAAACTGAAAACTTTACCGACAGAACACTGACATTTTTCTGCAAAGTTTACGTCGTATTGGTTATATAGAATTACAAATGCTTTTACGCAATGAAAGTACGTGCAAAAATAAATAATAGCATTGCTCGATATGCGAAGAAAACGAACAAAAAATGTTTAATGTAAAATCTCAAGCTGTCAGTTAGCGTAATATTTGCCTAATCCCAAAGTTCCGCAGCTTGTATATGTCGAAAGTGTGGATATTCCAAACAGAAAAATTTTGAAGAACATTGCTCTACCTTCGCATCTCCATTTGGGAGCTTAAGAATATCGAAAAAGTTTGCAGAAAGATTTCTACATATATATGGTTAAGTTTTCCGTTGAATATGGTAAAACAAAGCAACACACATTCATGTAAGTTCTGTATATACAAGAAATACGAAAAAGATAGCATGATTATGTTATCGTCTCTGTATTATCGACATTGTTCGAGTTCGTGATCAACTCCAGCATCTCCTTAAGAATATCGAAAAAGTTTGTAGAAAGATTTCTACACATGTGCGTGATTAGGTTTCTCGCTGAATATAGTAAAACAAAGCAACACACATTTATATAAGTTCCGTATATTCAAGAAATACAAAAAAGATAACGTGATTGTGTTTTAATGACAATCTCATCTATATTATTGATATTTTTGGAGTTTATTCAGCATCCCCTTAATGAGACAAATTTGATATTTTTAGACTTCTGCGATATTGTTTAATATTTTATTTGTTTTCCGAGTTTGGAAAACAAAGTTTGGAAACAAACATAGTTTTCTGTCTTGCTTGTATTTGGTTCCGACATTTCGTGAACATTTCAGTTCGTTTCTTCAGGAAGCAGAGCGACCTGAAACTATTAATTTCTTCGCCTGACAGTTTCAAGTCGCCCCGCTCCTTGAAAAAATGAATTGAAACGTGGGAACCAAATACAACGAAAACGTGGTTCAAATCTAGAAAACAAGTGAAATATTAATGAGACAGATTTTTCTTTTTCATATATATTTTGGCGCTTTTGACATTTTCCTGACCTAATCTCAACGTTTACCTTATTCTCTGTACTTTCAGCGTATTCCTCCGAAGAGGAGGCGGCACGGAGGACAGTTTCGCGAAGTTACGAGGAGGCGCCGGCAAGCTGTCGGTGTCGCACGACAGCGTTTTCCCGGGAGAAGTTCCTCACACTCGGCCTCTCTCCTCGCTGGCCAGCCTGGCAACACTCGAGGTCAGTGCTTATTCTCTTATTCACGGCGTTACAGAATACTGTGGGACGCACGGCCCGTTGTAAATTTCGAAACAGCGACGACGCGAGGAAGCGTGAATTATTTCGATCGCCGGGCATGAAACAAACAGAAATCGCTCGGGCATCGTCCGAGGAAGTATGAGCCGTCTTGAGAAATATCCGGGTGAGGAAGTCTCAAAGACGCGCGAAAGACGATGGGAATCATTCTTTATTGCTTTAGGCGTTTGGATAAATTTGTAAATTTGAACTGAATTCAATATTATCGACTTCACTGCTCGCGTTATGGAGGCAAGGATTCAGTATAAATTTGGTTGTTAACGAAATGATTCACGACTGCTTGTTTCCTACTTGTTTATTAACGAGACAATTTCTTGTTTTTTAAATATTTAGGCAAATTCTGCCTGAAAGATGCGCGAGGCTAAGCAAAGGGAATCCTATTCCTTGTTGCTTTTATATTTGAATAAATTCGTAACTTCGGTTATCTGCAAAATGGTAGAGGACTTTTTTATTCAGTTTGATCCGACCTACAAGCACACGCGACGGCAGGTGTCGCTGTCGCAACTCATCCGCTGTATCGCTCGCGTGATCATTCGCCAAATTTTATTTCAATCAATAACTCCAAGTTCCACGCGGTTGTCCGCGAAATGGTAGAAGAATTTTGCGTTCAGTTTGACCTGAATCTACATGCAATTGACATGTACGTGAATGCGGGACAGTCTGCGTCGGAGACCCTGCATAACATGAATAGCATTTACATGAATTCACACGTAAATTTGGACTGAATTTAATTTCTATATCGGTTTCACGGTTACGTTATTGATTAAAGCTTCAGTGCAAACCGTTTGACTGTTAACGAATTGATCAACAAATCACACGGCGGCTTGTCTTTCCCGCGTCGATCAGAAGATCGACACCATGCTCGCATAATCTCTGGCACAAAGGGCGTACGCGTGCAAGAGACTCGCAAGAGATTTCTCTGTTACGTCCCGGCCACATTACAATTACCCTTAAGAACTCGTTAATTGTGACGCAAGTACTGCTCGCGCGTGCTCGTGCATACGCAGCCGGCGTCGCGCTCGTGTCCGGCACGATGTTCACTCGTGTCATTTACATATTCGCAAATTACACACGAATACGAAGATTCGCGAGTCGTGCTCGCAACTGCGTGAAGCGTAAACGGCCGCGGAAGAAACCGCGGCTCCTTCGCGTCGTCGTCATCGTCGTCATTGTCGTCATCGTCTTCATCACGCCGTGTCGTTTCTCCGCGCGCTCGTCGGGAGAGAAAGAGAGAGCATTCTAAGCACGCGCGAGTCGAGTTGCGCGATTAGTTACACGTGTCCGTGATCGGATCCGTGACTTGTCTTCTGATTCTCGCGCCGCAAAGACATAGGACAACGATTTCTGTGCACGCGCACGCCGAGAACAAATTTTTTTTCTGTATTTGTAACTGTAATCCCACAGAGAAACAATTGCTGTAAATTACGCTCAAGAGACAAATTATTTACTCATTAAATTCTATTATGTCATTGATAATAAACTTTATGTGCATTGAACTACCATCTTGCTGCAGAGAATATGATTGGGGCCAAAGGTAACTGCACGGAGAGAGTATTATAGTAAAAATTATAATACACAATCTTTCAATGCAAGGAGAATAAAAGGCAAATGAGAGTCAAAATCGCCGGTGTAATAGCGAGAATGTTAATGCGAATGATCCAAACATTACAAAAAATCCGCGAAAAATGTGGAATGCTTTATGATTTTGCGTGTCATCCATTGTGCAGGGCCCATGTTAACTCTGTATCTTCAATTCTGTATTTCCAATTTTATGTACTGCCGAAGCAAATACATGTAAATTTATTCTTCTTGCATCGAACGATTGTATATTAACAAAGTCTTTACACACACACACACACACAATTTTAGTACTCCGCGAATAGATTGATACTAGGATGAAAATTATGAGACATAATAAAAGTGACCATGAATATGGTAAAAATCATAAAAAATATAAAAAAAATTATAAAAATATAAAAATAATTATTAATTATTAAATTATGTTTATGATTACTTTTACTATGTTATTATAATTTTCTATAGTTATAATTATAACTATAGAAGTATTATACAAGTATAGAATTATTATATAAGTATAATTTTTTAAAGTTATTTATTATAATTTTCTCGTAATAGTGTTAGTCTATTCCCGAACTCTATTACAAAATTACATTGTAATTTTCACTACAGTATTCTCTCCGTGTGATTTCAGTTAGACCAACCATTCTTATTTCTCTCAGCGCACGCACACGTAATGTACACACGCCCCGGATCCGAGCGCGCGCGCCGAAGCACCGTTACCGCGAATTGCGTAAAAGTGACGTGGCGAATGTTGGGCGCAGTAGTGCGTAATTGACGAACAAATGGGGGCCTAATTAAGCGGCCAACACGTGTCGCTCTGCATTTCTCCGAACGGAGCCTGGCTTACTTTTTCTCTCGTCGCGCGCGCACCGTTACTTTCCTTCGTTGTTCTTCCTCGCGCGAGAGGAGATGGTATCTCAGGCCGTCTCTTTTTTCTCTCTCTCTCTCTCTCTCTCTCTCTATTTTTCTCCACTTTTTTTTTTATTGTTCTGTTTCCGTCGGTTTACGGCGCATCGTTTACGACGGCCGAAGAACAGTTATCTCGCGCTGTTGTTACGGCGTTGTTGTCCTTATTGGTATCCGGTATAGTATAATAGCGTTATAAGAGCGGCGAATGGTATTTTTCGTGGCTTTTCCTATCGGCGTATTTACTTGTAGAATTTACTCGCGACGTGCTCGAGCGAATGCCGAGAGTCCATTTTGCGGAACGTAATCTCCACTTACGGAGACGAACATTGCTGCGTACTTGAGATTTACGCGCCGGACGGAGAATATTTGTTTCACACGCGTCGTTCGATCGTAAAATCGTCGGTCCCGCCCCTCCCCCTTGCAATAGTCGCGATCGAGAATTGTTATTGTGGCGATCCAAATCCCGTCGCGGAATGTAGGTCGATCTTTTCCATCCTTTCTATCTCCGATAGAAAAGTCAGGAGCACGTTCCGTCCTGATACCCGAGGAAAGTCACGATTAATGATTTTTACGTTCGTGGAAAATCCACCCGCCGCGAGAGCTCGCCTCGTCATGATTATCATCGTGTGTTCTCTTCGTGTGTTCGCAGCGACGGCAGACCCGGAAGAGCAACGAGATCATCGAACACAAGGAGTACAATCATCACGTTGCGCAGAGGCACCGGATATCCTTACGGGTAATTCGCGGAAGCTTCCAACGTGCCCTTCCAGCTCGTAAACGAACGCGTAAAGTCGACGATCGACGCCTCCATCCGGGTGATAAATGCTGCTTCGCACGAAAATGCGTAAGGACGCATTCACACGTTGATAGAAAGAACAGAAAGGCAGAAGCCAATCAGAACTCGCGCTGATGGAAAAGCAGAAACTGTCGGCTACCGTAATCGGCTGACCACCGATCAGCATGAGTTCTCACTGGCTTCTGCTTTCTGCTTTTCTGTTGTTGAGTTGTGAATGCGCCCCAACACACGGCTCTTATCGCCACACTGAGAGAAAAATATAGTTGCTCTCGCCGTCAACTATACTTTTTTGTGACTTTAACAAAAAGAAAAGTAATTAGAAGAACCATTTTTCTAATAACGCTTACTAGAATAATAGTTTTTCTAACTATTTTTTGTGGTCAAAATCACAAAAGAATATAGTTGACGCCAAAGACAACTATATTTTTCTCTCAGTGCATGCTTCTTTTCTTCTTTCCGTCGGAAATACATTTTCGCTTTGACCCCACACGACAATCTGTATCACAGCGCGCTCTAAATTGCTGAAATACGATATTCTTGCTCTTTAATTTTTACGTTCGGGCATCGTATGGATATCGGGGGAAAAAATAGTTTCGTGAAAGAACTTGGCGCTTCGGGTTACGGGTTCTGTGTCAGATAAAATTTCCGCGCACGACAGTCGCGTGCAGCTTCGCGTGTAATTATCGGTCGCTGCTTGCGGTTTGTTCGCAGGTACTCGAGCAAATAAAGACGGTCATAGAGAACCGGAACCAGCTGGCCTCGGCGACCTCGCCGGATACAACAACGGCCAGTATAGCGCATGTGAGTATCTAGTCTGCGGATTTAATTCGTTGGATCTGAAGTAAAGACCGCGATCCTTCTTGCAGTCGGTCGTCGCTCGATTGTTATTTCTCGTTCGCGAGTTTTTCAATTGAAAATTCTCCTCGAACCCCTGACAGTCCGGGCAGCCACTGTAAGGCAACAATTTTATGAGATACTGTTTATCATACAATTATCATTATCACTGCTATCATTATTGTTATCCATCTTTTCGCACAAATTAGTTAAAGAAATTTAAGCGAAAATATAAGAGCAAAAAAATGTTTAAAAATTAAAAAAATGTTTGAGTATACAAATATACTTACGCGTCATACAATTTTTATTAATCCTATATTACAATATAGGACTGACAGTTGAAACATTCGTATTTAAGCAGTAAGACTGCCTGGGATGAGCCACGTGTCCAAGAACTGGCACTTTTACTTTATCGGGACAGTTGACCGGTTCAGAACAGTTGAGCCAGTTCAGCTCCGGGGATTTAATTACATAATTACGAGCATTTCATCAGCGCTAATAAAATTAAAAAAAGAAAGAAGTCAGCCTCCGATCGCGTGTTTCTTCTTGACGTTTTCACTTTTACGGCCGACGATACGTTATTTCGAGAACAAAAAAGAACCCCGCGCGAAACGCGTGACCGAAAGAAAGTCGGCTGCCGTCCTCACGAAGGCAGCGGAGGTGCTGCAAGAGGAGTGCTCTCTCAGCAGTGATACACAGCTCCCGCGCGTATAATTACCGCGCGTTTCACCCATTTTTGCCTTCCTTCCCCCCCCCCCCCT